AATTCAAAGTGCACGGCAAAGTTCAGAATTCATTTGAATTGGCACGAGCTTGTACTCAATCAATTTGGCCTTTTCCAAACAAAGTAAACCGTGTCACAGAATTGTTCTTGATTGCTGTCCACACCTGAGAATCGTCCAGAAGAGACCCCAGAGGAGTGTACCCAATAAAAAAATACCAATTATATGTCATTTATCCTACATCGTGCTTGAGGGGGCTCAAATTGTGTCTTTTTGCCTCCGTGTCTAGCATCAGTGCCGCAGCTCTGCAACTCTCCTACACTCATCGTCATGGTGGGCCTGCCAGCCAGAGGGAAGACTTACATCTCCAAGAAGCTCACCCGCTACCTCAACTGGATCGGGGTTCCTACAAAAAGTTGGTTTTGCAGCCTCAAACAAAACAGCTCAGCGTGAACTAGGCTCCGCCTTTGCTTATTGCTGTTCATTCCCACCAGCGTTCAACGTGGGCCAGTACCGCCGCCAGGCCGTCAAAACCTACGAGAACTTTGAATTCTTTAAACCGGACAACGAGGAGGCCATGAGGATCCGCAAGTACGTATGGACTGACAGCTCAAAGCGACTTGATGATGCGTTGAAGAAATCACAGATGTGCCTTGCTTTGCAGGGCGTGTGCGGCGGCTGCCCTCAGAGATGTCACTACCTACTTCACAAGTGACCAAGGTCACATCGCGGTGAGTCGGACCAACGCTCAAATTCTCACACACTCGACTGAAGTGCACTCATGCACACACACTGCTGAAACACTCTAATTCCCGCCAATGAAAATCTCTGAAAGACATGACACTCAACTGAAACATTCTCACATCCAACCTCTCTCAAACACATTGAAAAAAAATCTCTGACTCGACTGAAATGCGCTAATTCACACACACACACACACACACACACACACGCACACACACACACACACACACACACACACACACACACACACAACTGAAATGCTCCCATCACACACACTATGTTTGATGATGACCTGCTGTTTGAGGGGATCTCGGTTGTGTGGGTTCACGTGAGGTAATCCTCATTCATGTCCCTTAATGGCCTTTCATATCCATTTGTGGTAGTGAGTTACAAGCGTCTCTCCTTCAACTTATAGAATCATCCTTCCATCCATTTTCCAAACCGCTTATCTTCACAAGGGTCGCGGGCGTCCTGGAGCCTCTCTCAGCTGTCTTCCGGCAGTAGGCAGGGGACACCCTGAACTGGTTGCCAGCCAATGATACAGTAAACAGATATACAGTATACAAAGGACCATTCGCATTCACAATCACACCTGGAGACAATTTAAAGTGTTGCATTAGCCTGCCATGTGTGTTTTTGGAATGTAGGAGGAAACTGGAGTACCCGTAGAAAACCCACACAGGCACGGGGAGCACATGCAGACTCCACACAGGAAGGCCAGAGCCAGAATCGAACCCTGCACCTTTGCACTGTGAGGCGGACATGCTAACTAGTCGATCACCGTGCCGCATGTCTGGAGGAAGAACCAATCACATGCTACTTAGTTCGAAGTGCAGATACTTGAGTAAAAGGCGGTTAAAAGCAGCAGTGTACCGGTACTTAATCTTCTACTCTTGTACTTTTGAACTTAATCTGCTAGAAAGTTGAAGTTTTAGTTGGGAGACCTGCTAGATTACATTTTACTAATGGATATTCTTTGACAATGCTTAGAGGCACAATAAAGAATCTTCATTTTCATCGTTATTTTTTATAGATGTGTTTCCCTTTGTTTTCACTATTATCACTGGTATGGAAAACAAGTGGCAAGCTCAAAGGCTTGATAGCAAATGTGCCTTGTGCAGGTTTTTGATGCCACCAACACCACAAGGGAGAGAAGGGCAAACATCCTCAGCTTTGCCAAGGAGAGAGGCTACAAGGCAAGTGCAAGTGGAATCATGAAAAGGATCCACCACCATACTCTGCTCTATCGTGTGTGTGTGTGTGTGTGTGTGTGTGTGTGTGCGTGTGTATACACGCACTCGTGCATGCGCGCATGCATTTTCCAACACGTTGTCTTTTAAAAGTGTTTGTGTCCAGGTTTTCTTTGTGGAGTCAATCTGTGATGACCCAGAAATAATTGCAGAGAATGTTCAGGTCAGAACCCCTCATCACTTGTCCGCTATTCACAAAAGAACAGATCCCGCGGTCCCATACTCAGAGTCTTTTGGTTCATCTTGTTAGGTCGTTTCACCAAGCGAAAATATATGGTGCTTCTTTGGGAAGCAGACCAAAATTGTTCCGTACATTTTTGGTAACAGTGCATTTTAGGATAATCATTACCCAAAAGTCAAATATGTCAAAGAACGCTTTGTGAGCCGTGTCTGGATACTCCGGTGCCCTTTATTAAGTATCCAAAACGCATGTTCTTCGCAGCAAGTGAAATTTGGGAGTCCAGATTACGTGAATCGCAGCATGGAGGAAGCCATGGAAGACTTTGTGCAGCGCATTGAGTGTTACAAGTCCAGCTACATGCCGATAGACGACGAAAAAGACAGGTGCTGAGTCAGGATAGAGAATGTTCTCGGACAAATTTGCATCTCTCAAGTTTGTTTTCATTGAACAGAAAGCTCTCCTACATCAAGATCTATGAAGTGGGTAAAAGATACCTGGTGAATCTGGTCCAGGACCACATCCAGAGCAGGATCGTCTACTACCTAATGAACATCCACGTTGCACCGAGGTCCATCTACCTGAGCCGCCATGGGGAAAGCCAACTCAATCTTCTTGGTCGCATCGGCGGAGATTCTTCTTTGTCTGTCAGAGGATATGAAGTGAGTACCGCGCACCGAAACACTTGAGGGATGGAAGACGACTTGTGTCTGGTTCAGATGATGAGATTTTAGCCCCATTCTTGGCCCCATTTACTGTCGTGAACGATTTTCCAGATCTGACCCAGCATATTTTGTCAAAATTGACAAAACTCCTTTTCTCCCCATTTTTGGGAAAATGCATCTTGATTTTTTTTTTTTTTTTTTAATCAGCATTTTTTCAAAGAAATTTGGGGCCGTTCATTTTTTTTTCTCTCAACGCAAGTCAATGGCCGCCAATTATCTGCGGCTTTTAGATTTTCACACCTAATCCCTATTCCCGTGAGTAGCGGTGTCGACTGTAATCATGTTGTTGATACCGCAGTTGTTGTGCCCATTGTTCTTACATCCCTCACCTCTTCATTCTATTTTTTCTATCTACCCTCTGTCTTCTGAGCCTGGGTTCTGTTTGAGTTTCCTCCCTGAGAGGGAGACTTTACTTGACTCCGCTTCCGACTTCTCGCATGCGTCGGGTTTAGTTAGTTGATTAGCTCCCATGTGCTTCTCAACCTATTCAATGTGCAGAGTGCCTTGAAATAACTTCTATCGGATATAAAATTGACTTCACTTGACAAGCTCAATTCCTTGTCTACAGTATGCTGCTGCTTTGAAGACTTTCATCCAGAGTCAGAAAATTAAGGATCTGAAGGTGTGGACCAGCCACATGAAGAGAACCATCCAAACTGCACACGCGCTGGGCGTCCAGTATGAGCAGTGGAAAGCTCTCAATGAGATCGATGCAGTAAGTTCCATTCGGATTCAATGAGGCAAGTGAGTGAAATCAGAGTGTAGTCCTATGTGCTTCCACCTTTCGTGCAGATATAACTTGTCAGTGCAACCTTCACTTTCTATAAAACAAACGATGCTTCTCATCCTGGGTAAAGTAATTGCAATATCTTGAATATACTGCAGATTGTGTCAAATACAGTATATGAGTCTTAGGACACTATAGTTGAACAAAATTACAGGTTTACTCAGGTTCATCTGTTTATACTAGCTTCAGTAAGGAGATTGACAGTCGCAGACTCTGTCATATCGGAAATACGATTTCCAACCCACATTCACAAACTTAAAAAAAGAAAAATGACTCTCTATACCGCTCAGCATCATTCGCTTATCATAAATACAGTAGCTCAAATATACCACAGCAATCAATCATCATCTCCAAAATAGGACAAAATAATAACAGTGGCAACAATAACATGTGCTTGAAATCTTATCAGCCTTTGGTGTCAGTTGGTGGTTTCTAAATGTTGGGTCCAAGAACAAAAACTAACCACAGTCTCAGGAGGAAACAGTATCGATTTTTTTCAATGTGCAACATTTCCTCTGTTTGAATTGTCTTTTTTTCCTTTCCTGCTGCCCTGAGGGTGTGTGCGAGGAGTTCACTTATGAGGAGATTCAGGAGCATTACCCCGAAGAGTTTGCATTGAGGGACCAGGACAAGTTTCGTTATCGTTATCCAAAGGGCGAGGTAAGTCCTCCACCGCTGCGGACTTCATAAATCTACGCAAGTGCCACATGTGGAAAGACGTTCATTTTACTTGGAAATGGGCAAATGCAATTTGGTTGAAGAAGTGGTGACTCCTGCCATGACTGTGTAGTTGTAGACCTTTTCAGACAGGTGCTTTACTTTATTTCCAGGTAACGCGTGAAAACTAAGCCAAAAATGGACACGAGATCAGTTCCAAGATCAGGGCTAAGGGAAGCATACAACCATTTTTTTTTTCAAATACAATACAAATCACCTTGTTCTGCTTGCCAAGGGAGCTAATTGAAATTTCCAGATTATTTCAGGAATTACAGGATGTATGTTCTTTATGTCCTGAAGCTCTTCTTTCCCATATTTCAAAGGGAATCCCCCCCCTCCCCCAATACAAAGCAATGTGTTCATTGTGTTCTATTATGGTAAGTTTTTGATTTCCGGGGTTCAAACAAATATTTTTCAGGTAAAGAGATGTTCTCTTATGTGGCTTACGGCAGTTTCTGCTTTGGACCTTTCAGCTCAGTTCGAGGTGACATTGCCTCGAAAAAGTAGAGAAAAGTTCTCTGACACGAAGTTCTCTATGTGGCAGTCCTACGAAGACCTGGTCCATCGCCTGGAGCCTGTCATCATGGAGCTGGAGAGGCAGGAGAATGTTCTGGTCATCTGCCACCAAGCAGTCATGCGCTGCCTCTTGGCCTACTTCTTGGACAAGCCTGCAGGTACAAGAGTCATCTCGTTCTCTCGTGGTCATATTCCTTCATAATCAGTCAGCCTCCTTTTGCTTCTCTCTCAAGACCAGCTGCCCTATCTTAAATGCCCCCTCCACACGGTGCTCAAACTCACACCAATAGCCTACGGTAAGTGTTCGCCATTGGACAGTGCCGTCCCTCGGTCTTGATGCCCCGTTGTTCTTCTCGGTTGCAGGATGCAAAGTCGAGTCATTTTACCTCAATATCGAGGCTGTCAACACGCATAGAGACAAGCCTACGGTAAGAACAAACGAACAGCTGTCAGACGAGACACTGTGTTCAAGAACTAGTCCATACGGGTGTCTTTCTTTCTTTGGATGTGTTTTATGTGAATATCCGTGTTCATCACGTGTGTGTTCCTTGCTTGTTTTGGTTGCGTTTTGATTGTTTGTCTCTCTGTGGCTGCTTATCAGAGGCTTTGTTTCTTTTCGCTTTTAGATTTTGATTTGACTTGCTTGAGTTCAGTGATTACTGTGAGCATGAATTCAAGTTTCTACATTTGTTGAAAATAGCCAGCAGAGCCACCTGTACAATTCAGTATAATCAAATCAATACAAAACGTTTCAAAGGCAATAGCAGCAGGTTTTGATTGTAAAATTCGGTGCAATTTCGTTATATTTTTATAGCAAGAGAAGTTGTCACGGGGCACGTCAAGCATTCCTCACTTATTAAAAGACCAACTGAAGTCAACATGAAGCAAGGCAAGAGAGAGAGAGAGAGAGAGAGAGAGAGAGAGAGAGAGAGAGAGAGAGAGTATGAACTAGTTAAATATTTATAGAGGATCAGAGAGTGTGAGTGTGAGAGAGGGAGAGAGTGTGAACACGTTAAATATTTGCTCCTGGATCAGATTGGAGGTAATTGTAACCAATGACAGAACCCAGGATGTTTTTTTTTTCACTTTAGTCCCATTTTAAACCTAGCCTCATCCTAGCCTTGTCCTAGCTAGTGCTAAGCTAGTTTGTTTCTCAAGTTTGCAAACTCCCTTTGGTTTATTGCTTTGATGGCGTGAGAGGCCAACAGCAAAGTAACCATGAAGCTATTGATACACTGCCGAGTTGGGCTTCATTGACTGACTGCTTAAGCGTTGAATTTATTGTTCATTAGCCAGCCTAATATACCCATACACTTGCAACTCCTTCTGGGTATCCGCTGACCGCAGTACGTCCTCAGCTTTCACGTATGTGCACTCCCCACATGGACACACCACATAGTGGGGGACATGAGCGCCATCCAAACATTCCTCTCTGATGACAAGATGCTATGACTGGTTCTGACTCAAATGGGAAAATTATGATTCAGCGTTCGTTTTCAACAGCCAATTCACAATGCAATAAGAGTCACCAGTGATTCGTGCACAGCCCGATTTAACATATACCCAACAAAGAAGTCCTGGATCGCACACGGTTTCATCTGCCACACCCGGTGACAATCAGACTAGTTGAGGATATATCAGGAACAAGAACTGCAGGGTGCTTGGTTTCCTTGTCATCACTTGCTTGGATTTCTTCAGCCAAGTCTCTCAAGGCTCTTTTAGTGTCTTTGTGTGTGTTTGTTTAACTGCATGACTGCATTACACAATACAGTACTGCCTCATGGTACTCCGGGCACACAGGAAGGAGCAGCACACAGATTTGGATTGCAGCATTAAATCTTGATGCACTAAGTGTTAAATTATTTACATTCTAGTTTTGTCATGACTCTTTTTCATTACATGCAAGATGATAGATTGTTATTTTTTTTCCTTATTGAAAAACAAAAGCATTTCATTTTTATTTAGGGGAGGAGGTGGCATTCCATTCACTCGGGTGACTTTTATTTTTGTTTTCAATGGCAAATTCCGCCCTTATGTGTCCTTGTTGAAATCACATTTCATATGTTGATGTTGTAGAATGTGGACATCAACAGGAACCCAGAAGAAGCGCTGCAGACAGCTCCTGATCACATTTGAACAATGTGCCGTGCAAATGGCAAAGACGAGATACGGCTGGCATCTCGGACCTCGTTGTGGAATCCACAAAGCAGTTGCCTTGGCCTTCAAGCCTCCCGTGACGAGCAGCTTGAAGCGCTCGACATCGAAGAGCAGCAGCTGGAAGCTTGATTGCGTGACTGCATTTTCTACATGACGTGAAAGCATGTCGTTTGAAGGGCAAACGCTATCTTGCAGGGATGACTTCCTGTGTAACTCTCAAGACATATCCAAAGCAAGTTTGACACCTATTTCAAAAGAGGTTTAAGAAATTTAGCATTTAGCATGAAGTTCACCAAGAAGGACATTGACAAAATAAAAATAGCAACTCCAAAACAAACTGACCATTCCAAAAATATGCAATCAAAAATATTCGAAGTGTGTGAAAATATGCTGGTCATGGTGTTTTACCCTCCTCTGATACGCTTTGAACCATGGCATGCCATGCATTCAGTGTAATAACATCATTTCTGATGATTGCTAACCACAACCAGCACAATAGAAATGCAGTAAACCGCTGCCAATTTGGGGTTCTCTGTCGAGACCATCCTCGGTTATTTGCAGAAAAACTCACCTCGGCTCGTGGTGGAAAAAAAACACATAAAACGATGGAGTGGGGATAACAAATCAATTTGTTCACTCAAAGCACAGTGACTGTCTTTACGAGTGACATCTCATCTATGGAATCACCGCTGAGCCAAACATGTTTTGTACCAGCCGTCCCAGAGTGGTTTCTCATGACCTTGTGTGACTGAGCCAAAGCTTAGCATGTTTGCCAGTAAAAAGGAAACCACCACCTATTTATGTTTGCCTAGGGAACCTATCCTCATTATTTGCACAAACTTTCCAACACTGTTAAATAAAGACATTTATTGTTTTAGTAGATCCGCAAAAGGAAATCATGTCTGTCAACTGTCATCTTCCTGGTCCTTTGCTAAAATCTGTACCAAAATGTTCAACTGTCACGTGTATGAATAAATAACGTCGAGATTTTGCTTTTTTTTTTTTTTTGTTACTGTACCCTTTTTTCCAGTAATAATAAGATATCCTTTATTTCTCCCACACTGTGGAAATTTACAGTCTACAGCAGCAAAATTGGGGGCTAGAAGAAGAAAAACAAAGTGTTTGCATGCACAAAAATAAATGTTTCAGAGAGAGCTGTACACAATTCAATTAAGTGCAATATAACTATAGATATAGATAAGGTGGCTGTGCTATTTACAATTGTTACTGGTTTTTCACGTATTTTATTTTTTATTCAGCATTCTGACAGGTTGACTTGAACTTAACTTGAACAATAACTGAACAAACTACTATGCTTGATTTCTGATTTCAAAACTAGTAATCTATCAATTTGTTGTGTATTAAGTACTAATACGATGAGAAGTTTGTTTTCACCCTCTGATGGAAGCCATAACTCCAAAGTGGCCTGCGACAAAAAAAAATGAGTTTGACGTCCCTCATTTTACGTGTTGTGTTTTACTGCCCTCAAGTGGTCAAGACGAGCACACCAGAAAGCGCGCTATTGTGTCCGTGAAATTGAAGCCATTATGTGGCTACAACTATTTCATTCTTTGCGTTCTAGCTAATGACGTAATTATTTTATGTTTTCATAGAGTAAAATATTTACATGTGCTTTTCTTTCAGTGGGCCAAAATGATTGGGGAAAATTAGTGTTTTGAATTACGAGCGTGGCACAAGAATATTTTCAACTCGGATATCAAGGCGTCGCTGCTCGTTGACTGTTTACGTACCTTTTGACTTTTTTTTCGTGTCCTCTCTTTTTTTTTTTTTTTTTAACTCATAGCACATGAGTTGAATCTCTTTTTACACAAGCATTCGTATTAAAAGTTGTAGTTACAGAGTGAGAGTACTTTTTGCCACCCAGGGGCGTCACTAGGTTTCAAGAACAAGGGGGGCTTAGCCCCAAGGGGAACACAGCCCCTTTAGGGGGGTCCGGGGGCATGCCCCCCCGGGAGAAAATTTTTCTACATTCTGTTAAAAATCCATCAATTCCGTGCACTTTGAGAGCAAAATGAAGAGGCTATGAAGAACTACTTTACACACATCACATTAGTATACTCTTTACTATGATGGGGCTTCCTCCCCTGGACTTTAACTGGACTAGATAATAGAAATGATAAAGAGTTCAAAAGTTCAATCTTGGTTGTTCAAGGGAATTAGAAGGATGCCCGATAACATAACCTATATGACAGTAGGCCTATATTCCTCTCTACCAAAATGTATTAATATATGCTAAGCCCCCAGAAGACTATGTATTTTGAGATGTCTGCCGTGATATGCAATTTAAGTTAGTACAATGAGATGCAAGCGCTTCATCACTTTGGAAAAACACAAGTTTACTGCTTAATACTTACTGTAAGCTCCGATTGCATTTTGGGAACAGCCTTGCAAGTAAAATTAGCCTTGAGATCTGATAGACTCACCTGTCCAGCAGAGCTCCCCCCGGCTCACTCTCTGTGCGTCTTTAGCCTGATTCCTATCAAATAAATAAATTGATTTTATATTTATTTATTTATTTTATATAGGCCAAAATCTCAATAGGTGTTGCCTCAAAGAGTTGGTGTAATGATTATTTATGTATTTAATAATAAAATGTTGCTTAATTTTTATTAAGCACCACCTTAATTTATCCAAAAGTGAACACTTGTTACAGTGCAGTTTCTGCTGTTTCTGGAGATATTTTAGCGGACTATAGTCACTAGTTTTACCAGCATGGATGCACTGAATATTTAATTTACCTTTCTAAAAACTGTCGAATATCCATGCTGTCGACTCAACCTGACTTTCGGCAATGAACTGTCAGTTGTTGCGTTAGCATTTGATATGGCGATGGTGACAGACACGTCAAATGCTAACGCAACACCTGTTGCGTTCAGGAAACCTGGGAGATTTAACATTATAATAATGGCAGGTTATCGAAATATAATTTAAAATGGCCACATTCCATTGAATTTGATGCAATATATTAGCAAAAGTACAGGAAAAATAAATAATACTTTTTTTTAAAATACATGCAATGAAATTATTTCGGGGGGCTAAAGACATTTTTTAGGGAGGCTGAAGCCTCCCTAACATAGGCCTAATGACGCCCATGTTGCCACCTCTGGTGAAGTCCACGTGTGCGTCCGAGCTCAAACAGTGAAAGGACTCCAGTGTGACGGGCAGAGAGAACGCCAAAACTGCGGGCTGGTGTTATTTTTTTTTCCTCCGATAGCTGAGCGTGCATGACATCAATCCGTCATTCCATTCCTGAATCGGAGTGGCAGCAGCCCGTGAAATTTGCAGTACGCACATAAGAGCTGCTCTCAACCGCACTTTGACTTTTTTTGTCCATCTTCTAGTCATCATTTTGCTCTGAGTTTTTTTTTCCACGGACCTGGGGGAGGAGGGAAGAGTAGGAGCCTCAAACAAGCAGGCAGGCAGCGTGCGTGTGCCTAATGGTTAGTGGTTAAAATATGAGGTGCGTCATTCCTCCGGACATCATTTAACATTTGTTTTAGCGCCCCAAAAGCCGCTCGATCATGGGAATGATGCTTTTGAGTATCCAGTGCATTTTGCTTTTCTTCCTGTTTTACGCGCAAGAGGGATTATCTCGGGATTATTCGGCTCATCCTGGACAAAATCTTCCAAGGGTGAGGACATTTTTTCCCTTGATGCTATGTAACGGTGAAGAATTCCATTTTTTAAAAGGGTGCGCTAAATTCATGTTCAGGCTCTTACACACTTTGAAAATTATAAATAGTTTACCTTTTAATCGTCTCTACTTTTTGTGCACAATCAATTATGAGACAGAAGTTAAATGCTTCCCACACAATTTCCACACTCCAAATTTGTGTTTCCCCGAAGTACCCGGATGTGTGGTCATGTATTGACATAGCAATGACTTGTGTGCCAAAAGAACATTTGAAACCGACGCGTGCGCCTTCCTGCGTTGCCCACCGTGTACAGTGAGAGCATTTATTTATTTCCCCTCCATTCGTGAATGGTTGAGATTCATCGCGCACAGGCCGGAGTGTGGCCAGCCTCAACTTCAAACCTACGAGACTCAACATTAGTTGTCTTCATAATTAAATGGCTGCAGCTTGATGTTCTCTTCCTATTATTCTCACTGCGGCTCTCACGTCTGTTGCAGAGAGCCAAACGCCAAAGTAAAGCGACCAGACCAGTGGTGAGTTTCTACTCCACTCTCTGCTAGCTGCTGCCATCAACAGTTGTCATCTTTGCAGAAGCAGAATTCATAACATGGGGTTTTCAGTGCACACGTTAGGCCAGTGATTGTCAAAATTTCAACACCAAGTGCCACCCTAAAAATCGAGTACCTGTTCCACAGTCGCAATCATATTCATCAAACCAGGCCGTTTTTTAAACTCAAAAAGTAAATTTAACATTGCTGTTAATCACTGTAACATTATGCATGGACATTATGTTTGGAAATTAGCACTGCACATATATTTAGGAAATAAAAAGAGTTTTCAAATAATGATACAATTGAAAGGCACTGCGGCAGCAGGTGCTTGACTGGTTAGCATGTCCACCTCACAGTGAAGAGGTGCGGGGTACGATTCTAGGGCCCGGCCTTTCTGTGTGGAGTTTGCATGTTGTCCCCGTGCCTGCGTGGGTTTTCTCCAGGTACTCCTGTTTTCCTCCCACATTCCAAAAATATGCATGGTAGATTAATTGAACACCCTTTATCAAGGGTCACCAACCTTTTTGAAACTAAGATCTCCTTGGCTACTGATTAATGCGGAGGTCTACCAGTTTGATAGTATGCACTTCTGAAATAAAATTGCTCGAACTACCTTCATATGTTTTAATTCATGATTAATGATCTTCATTTCTGAGAAGACGCTGATTACATTAGCGATTTCTCACAATAATTATGAAAGAAATATCAATTGGCCACACTTTATTGTAAATATCTGCCAGTGTTCACATTTTGAAATGATCGCTTCTACAATATTCCTGGAGAGTCACAATGTCTCATCATTAGTGAGCTGTTTTTGGAATAGGCCCACGGGCTACTCATGTAGTATGCTC